TGCTAAATATAAGCAAACCAAGCTTGACACCTTTGTTTTCTATTGCTTATTATCATTTTTCTCTTTCTCCTTTCTCTGTTTGGTCCCTTTTGCTTCCCTTTACCCTCCCCTCCCCTCGATTCAGGTACTTTTGCATGTCCGGTCAGAAGTAATGATCTGCCCACTTTACTGTCAAACACACACACATTACAGTTATCCATTATCATTCCAGATGTGCTTTTTCCTTGTTTCATTTCATCTCTCTTCCATAGATGGTCAGCTCAGACATATAAAAACGGGAGAGCCTTTTGTGTTCAATGCCAGAGAGGATCTCCACCGCTGGAACCAGAAACGCTATGAAGCTCTTGGAGAGGTAACGCATACGTGTTTTCATTATACAACACAAGGTTGCAGTCCCTTCATGCTATACACATAGAAAATGATAATTACATATTAGATCAACATGTAAAATAAATACAAATAAAATAAAATATATACAGTTATGAATATTTTGCAATGGTTGCTGATTCTTTTGAAAAGCAAACAGACTTGGCACTTTGACCCTTATCACACATTTTCACATTTTTTTCCTCTGGACAGATCAATTTCCTGTCAAGTCTTTTTTATTATTTGTGTTTAAATTAAAATTAAAATCTATTTTATGTGGTCCAACAGCAGGCCACTGTAGTTGTAGAGAAAATCAAGTTGTCAAAGTTAATATAGGACTCTCATTTAATTCCTTTTTTAATTTACACATTTATATGTCTAAAAATATTGTAACACATGCTTTATTCATTATAGTGGCTGTTGTAATTCACACTTGAGCTGTAGAAGACTTGTTTCTACGTCTAGGCTTTTTTAAAAACATGATGTTAAATTGCCACTCCCTTTACTCAGTTTAGTCATTCTTTAATTACAAACTTGATAATGCATTGTGACTTGCTTCACACCTCAAATGCCAATGCCACAGAACGGCTTTAACAGAGGTGTATTTTGTGGTCGAGGCATCTGTTAGATTAGAATGTGGAAAGTTTACAAGTATTTAAAAAAATCATGATCTGATATAGATAAGCACAATGGATTACAGTGTAATCCATTGTGCTCATCTAATTGTCAATTTAGTTAAGGTATTAGTTGTTGAGTCTGAGGTCAAATCTGTTAAATTTCCAAATGTGAAATCTGAACCGGACAGGGACATATCTGCTAATTAAGATGAAGAGCGTAAATCAAATGTGAAATCTGCAACAAAACCTGAGCATGGGTCTGAAACCGAGCCTGCTACTGGGCCTCCCAACCTATGCACCAGAAAAAGTCCTCAATCAAGCCTTTTGAGCCAACATTAAGAAGGCACAGTGTAGATAGAACAACCTGTCTGTGATGCATACAGTACTGGAGGCTGGTCTACATCGTTTTGACAGAGACTGCAGGCCTGACGCAGCATGTGCAAAAGAGCTTTCTTGACAACTTTTTATGACTGTGCAACATACAGATGTCAAAATACATTAGAAACTTTACTGATGCACACCACTGCCAATGAATTGATGGCCTTTATTGTTCTTCAACATATATATAGAATATATGGTGAAAAGCAGATACTGAGAGATCTCTAGGATCCCTAGGAAATAAAAGACTTTGACTTTCATTTAAAAGATTCTATGCCTACAGCTACCTACCTACCTATAGCCTAAAAATTAAAATCCTTGTGACACATTTTTGTGAAGTTCCTTAATGCTCTTATGAAGTTCTTTCATCGTCCAACTGCACCACCATATATCCAAATATACACCATCCTAAAGTTCACCTCTAATTCACTCCCACAGTACCAACACATGCAATATGCATTAAGATAATGAGACAAATGTTCTTTTGTAATCAGTTTTTTTATTTGCATCCCCTGCTATGTTGCTTTTAATTGTGTGCATTCTTTGAAGTTCAAAGCAAAGTGATAGACCCGTTTGTGGGATTACCTGGGTGTTTTTATTATTTCTAATGCAGGTATACAGTAGCTCCTTTGAGAGCCAGCCTTCTGTGAAGGCTTTTTTCCCCTCTTTTCTTTTGCCTGCTCAGGCACTATCTACCAGCATCTAAAAAGGCTGTAGAAACAAACATTTGGTAGCATGCAAGCAAAGGCCCTGAAAGAACACACAGACATTTAAACTAAATGAACTCAGGCATCCGAGGGGGGCCAAACATTTGGGGGAAACAAATAATCATCAAGCAGGATGTATGCAAATTTTATTCATCCTGTGATTAAAACATTGACAGAAGCATCTTCTTTAGAGAAGAAAAAAGGAAACCATGTCAATCAGTGTTGATGCAAGCTTGTGTAATGAGAGCAGATACTGTATGAATTGTGCTGCAGGAGATTAACTGGCTTAGAAGAAAAGAGCACTACCTGAATAAGCAGTATTATATGTCTGTTGTTTTTAGGCCACAGATGATTCAAGAAAATTAATATTGTACCTCATACAGCTTTGCAAGTACAAATGCACTGTTTTGCTGGTAAGAAATATGCTCCATTATAAATAGACACAACTACTGAATTGTATGCCTTTGGTTGTAAAAGTGGGTTATGCTGCTTAGTCAGCCTCTATATGTGAGTGTGTAGCACACAAGCATACCTGCATGCTTATTTCTGCGTCCGTCTGGCTGACACATGCAGATGTATTTGTCCTTGAATTCTTTCTCTACAGGATGCCATTGTGTACCTGCCTGCCTAGTCTTTTCTCTCATTCCTCTCCTTAATTTCTGCATTAGCCATGATGAGAGACTTTGTCAGATGTCATGAGGGTAGATGTAGAATAAGCCTTTATGCAGACAGGCCTGCTATAGGCCCAACACCACCACAACTCATCCCAATGCCAACTATCAACCTGCCACCTGAGACAGTCTTTGAACTAGCCACAATTCAGCCTAAGAGCTGTGTGACATGGCACAAGGACGTGGGTGCATGCATTTGCCCCTGGCAGTATAAATAAAACCACATCTTCATTGCCCTCTAATGTTCACTTACATTCATTTCTGTTTCTCCCCTCATTCATACCTCTGGAGGACCCTTTGCTGCTTCCTTCTTTTTCTACAGTGCAGATGCTCCCCTTACTTGCTCTCTGCTTAGCTGTTATTTTTGCTCCTTTTTGTACTTTTTCTTTTTTGTCTTAAACTTCAAAACATTCAAGGAGGTTTCCTATTGCAACTAAATCCTTGGGAGGATAATTTATGACAACTCTGGGTTGCGCTTATCTACTTTTAACTGCTTTCTGCTACCCACAACATTAACACGACCCAAACAGTAACTTAGTGGGCCACTGACACAGTTGTGCCCCGGATGTAACTATGCTTCTCTGCTCATTGGAGTCGATAAAGTGCACAGAGTTAAATAAATTGTTACAGAAGATTACCACACTCAAGAGAAGGATATCGGTGCTGGAAAAGACTTCTGAATTACACAGACAATCTGACAATTTCTTCTACCAGTGAGTAAGTGAACTCTTCACTGACTCACAGAAAAAAGAAAAAAAAATTCATATGCTATGAATGGGATCTATACCTGCTGGGATAATCTGGTTGCAAAACCTATATAGATAAGTGCAAGACTGTAATTTCTGGATTCAGCTAAACCAACTTTGACCCTGGGGTGGGACGGGTAAACTGATTTGTACCATCAATAAATCTCGATGAGATTGATAGTGGAGATGGCTGCTGATAAGTTTGGACATGTGAGTATTATGAAGAGTGCCAGCCAACAGAAAAAGATCAAAAAGTCCAAAATGGAAAAACATAAAAACTTTTGTGACATAAGAGAAAATTAATAAAAATAAATAATCATATTATTCTACATTTGGGGCCCATTGATATTTGGAAAGACCAATCAAAAGTGCTAAAGTAGGATTTCATTGAACTGTCTGGACTAACTGAGAGCCCAATTTTTATTGGGGGAAATCAGCAAGTTCATCAGGAACTTATAGCTCTACAGAACATGTGGTCAGGGATCCACTTTACTGATAACTAATCTGTTCTGGGCATATAGGCATCTTTTCAAGGCAGATGGCCTCCACCCAAGCACATGTAAAGTTAAAGTACTCATGAACCATTTTTGATTCAGCCTGCGACACCCATTGGCCAGGCCTAAGATAATACAACCTGACACACAGCAGTTTCAAGACTAGCGTGTTGATAACTGGCTCATAGTCCAGTCTCCTATTCCTCCTTCCTTCACTCTCTCCTGCTTCACTCCTATTGAGATTCACTGATAAAATGGAAGCGCTGATTAATGCAGGCATTAAATTCACCCCCTGGTCACTGCCATGTCATCTGCCTCCACCCAACCAAGCAGATTCTGTAACACCAACCATGCTGATAATGTATATGAAAGAAGAGAAAAACAGGAGGGAGCTGTTTGAGTTTGATAGGAATAACATTTCCACCGACCAGACTCCATTGACAAAACCAGTCATTTTACCTTCTTACCATTCTACCATTTTAGGGTCTGACAACCTTATGAAAAGGATCCCTACAGAGAGAGACATGATATCACTATCCATCACCACCAGACTCCATAGACAAAAGTAGTCATTTCACTGTGCATTTCACATGAAGTGTAACTTCATTTAAAATAGACAGAAACAAAATAAAACTCACCAAAAACGTCTTTGTTAGTCTTTCCATTGTTCCATCAATGACCAACTCTGGTTTGCTCAAAATAAATCCTAAATTTACGGACATCGATGAGAAAAAGCTGTTTCAGTTGCTCTCCTCAGTTGCAAGCAGAGGGACTCACGTGCACTAACATGCACACACGGCCAGACCAGAGAGCCTGCGATAGCAACACAGGCAAAGGGAGTGGGATGTAATTCTTAGCTCAGGACACCATGACTCCTCTATATAATTTATGTGGCAAATAGTTGCTTGCTGCTAAATTAATGTTTTAAATTGCACATACTGTATATAACCTTTAGTGCCTTTATGTGTTAAGTAAAGGACTTTGAATTGCCTATTGTTGAAAGGCGCTATACAGATATATTTGCCTTGCGTTTCCTCTGTCCATCTCTCCCTACCCCTTTTCTTCCTTTCAGTATCTTTATATCCTTGTGGTCCTGTATTTTGTGTGGAGGACTCTGGGTGTTTGTGTGTCTGTGTACGTGTGTGAGTGGGCTGGGGGGTGGCGGCTGTATTGTCAGACACATCACAGCACCAGATGTCCAATTTGCACTTCAGCCTTGTTTGAATAGAGGGACGGATAGAAAGAGTGAGAAATGAGGATGTTGGTGTGATGGCCTCCAAGCTAAAGAAAGGGATGGGAACAAAATTTGGGCTGAGCACAAGAGCAGTGAATATTTTTATGCCCCTCGAAAAAAAAAAAAAAAATTCAAAAAT